TGCTCGCCCAGGTTGAAGGCATTCTGCAAGTTGTGGTGAGCGTTTGATTTCTTCAGCTTGTCAAAGTCGATCAGGTCGGGTCTGAAGACAAGAAATAAGAAAACAAACAATTAAAAAGATGCATAACAAAAAGGCCTGAAAGCCAAGGAGGAGGACTTTTAAATAATTATTTGTTTAAGTTTGATTGACTGATTGAACTCTTATTAACTAGATATTTTTAAATGTCTGTAGATTTCCATTTCTTTTTTTCTGGGATGAATTGATCTCAGTTTTGCTTTTCTAATTCAGATATCTAAGATCTGGTATTGAAATCCTTAAACAGAGGAGATGTGTGACTAATATGCAGCTGGACTATTCTTCTGTGTTTATAAAGAAACCCTTAAATGATCAATTATCCCCGAACTGGAGTATCTTAGGACTCGTAAAATGCGACATTAGTTTCAGTAAATCAATCTAATTTCTGTTCTCTGCTGCGTGACTCCTCCTCCGTTATTTAGTGACGTGTGCATAAAGACGTGCTGTGGTTGGAGTCTGCTGAGCGATCAGCTGAGACTGACTTATTAAAGAGCAGACTGTCTGCAGAGGGCATGAGGAATGACGTGATGTTAAAGAAGGGTTTGTGGATAAATACATTCTTCTTTCACGTGAATAAAACTGCTTTCAACTAGTTCTCACGTCAGAATGAAAAGTAGGGCGGAACGATTTGGAAAATAGATCCAATTACTGTATGATGTGTGCTGTTTTTTCTGACTGATATTGGAAAGGTTGATATGGTGTCTGATATTAATGGGAAATGTAATCTTTACATCATTATTCTTCATCGAAAAATTAAGTAAGTATGAGAAATATTGGTGTCTTGCATACTAATGGCGCTTTTCCACTGAAGGGCCTCGCTTGGCTTAGTACGGTATGGCTAGGCCTCGTTAGGCCTTGTTAGGCCAGGCTCACTTTATGCTGCGTGTCCATTACAGTTTAGGAACTGGGGTAGTAACTATAGTAACGCAGTGTAGGCGGAGCCGTGACGTCATCTTCAATGCGAAACACAAAACCAACATCAGCCGTTAGCTGTTAGCCCTCAGAGCTCACAGCTCCTCATATCTGTTCAGAAACTAGACAAAAGTGAAACAAGTACAAACCACAGACTGCCTGTGTCATGGTGAATACAGTCGCTGCTTTATTTATATCTGTATAGGCCGTTGTTGTGAGTGTGGACGGTCGGAGCATATACTGCGTTAGCTTAGCCGATCTCCATTCAGAAAACACGCATTTTAAAAGGTTTTTCGCCTGCCGTCTGTCTGCAGACTTAATTCATGGTTTTTACTAACCGGTATCAGTATGTTGTTACTTCGGCATCATTTTGAAACGTGTATTACAATTAAATCACGGTCAAATATGTTCATTTTGTTGTAGTTGCCAGCGATTCTCTCACTAGCATACTCAGCCGGGAGCCAGAAAAACTGTGAAAAAGTACCCACTAGCCGGAACTACCCCTAGTGGAAACGCAACCAAAAACAGGCACGGCACGCTTAAACCGCGCTGTAGTGGAAATGCGCCATAAGTGAGCTTGGTGTGACTGCCTTGACCGTATTGTTCTTGTATGGTAATGTTGTATTGTTTTGTAAGCGTACTGTTCAATGTATCATAGGTCCAATTTATAGTCACTTTATATATTAAAAGTTTTAGCTTGTATTGTCAAATGATACTTATACTGTCTGTTATGTGTGATTGCACCTTCGGGAATGCTTGGAATTTTGCTGTACTCTGTGTAGTGACAATAAAAAGGAATCTATCTAATCTATCTATCTGTAAAGATATCTAAAATAAGAAAAGCCATGAATGAGCTCTCACCTGTGTTTGTGGATGAGGGCGTTGAAGGCCATGCCGTCCCTCCAGCTGGTGCTGAAGTTGTGGATGTTGACGTTTGGATACCTGCACAGGAAGAGGAAAACTTCATTTAGTGGTGCACTGTTTTACATTTTCACTTCACATCCCATCATTTAGAATAATTGATCTAATGGGAGCATCATCACTACAGAGCACACAGGACAAAAGCTACAAAGATTGAGTACAAATCTGTTCAATTTGTGACTTCTTGGAGATGAAAAGAAGGCAACAGGGCTGATGGGAAATGTAGTCTCAATATTGATTACATTATATTACATTACATGTTACTTGTTAGACGCTTTTATCCAAAGCGACTTACATACTTAATACTTGGAGTGATTTGGGGTGAAGTGTCTCAGGGACACAACGACATGCTGACTGCAGTGGGGTTTGAACCTGTGCTCCCCTGATCCAAACACCAAGGCTCTACCCACTGCGCCACACGCCTCCCACAAAGTGGTTTTAACTCTCACCCTGCGGTCTTCATCTGACACCAGAGCAGCAGAGCATCTTTAGCAGACTTCTTCTCCTTGTTGTCCTCCGTCTCCACGCTGATGTCCTGGATCTGAGACACACAGATACACACAGTGAGTACAACATAACATGTAAAGACTTTAAATGAGAAAGACGTCCAGCTATTGTAAAATATGCAGCTTTTTAAATCATACATTTGAAGAAACTTAAGGGAAGAGTTGGATTTCGGTTCTTAATTGTCTTACTGGGACACTAAGGCAAGGCAAGGCTAAGGTTGATAGAACTTTATTTATAGCATTTGAAGAAGGATTTCATGCAGCACTTTTAACTCTCTGTTAATATTGAGTCCTTCTGAATACATCTTCCCTTGTTACAGAATTGAATGCAAATTCTAGATGCAATTATATTTGTCTATCCATGGATAAAAGCTCATTTTATATATTACAACATTTCATCAAAATAGTCAGAACCATAGTAAACAATCATTTTACATCAAAACATTATACATAAAACATTCATCATGTGCAGATCCCTGCTGCGGTTGCACATTATTTTAAATGTTGGTTGTGTTTGTGATATTAAAGGTTTGAATGGTGCTGTGCAGAGATTAAGAGAGTACACAGTGATCACAGCAGCATGACGTCTTCCCCTCTTGCATACGTGTGTAATCCATTCAGAGGGATGTCCTCCGCTGACATGACGCGTTCACTGTCTGTCCTCACTGTCACTCTGTCATAACATCAACACACATCTGCACTTCCATACTTGTGAGGATGCAAACACTTTCCAAACATGTCCTCACTTTCTAAAAAAGGTCCAGACTGTCAAGAAATGTCCTATTTTTTCCTAATTTTCCAAACATTTCAATTAAAATAACCTTATTTATTAAAAAGGTGCACACTTTGTAAACATGTCCTCACTATAGAAACCCTACTATATCTTAATTTTTGCAAATGTCAATTGTCCCATAATGTATTTGCTTTATAGATTTACCTTTCAAATGATGTCATCAACATGGCCCAGCGTTAGAAACACGCCTTCAAACTTAAGAATTTTTTTTCTAAAACAATCGTCAATTTTAAAACTATCTTAAGCTCTAATAAAAGGTCCCCTCAAATATAGTACAAGAGCACGCACACACATACACAAACATATGCAAACACACACACACACACACCACATCTCACCTTCATTGATAGCGCCCATCAGTTTCAGCCTGACAAAAGCATGAGTCTCAACTGAGCCACAATCAGCATCAACACCACCAATGCATATTACATATAACACACACACACACGTACAGAAACAAGCACATACACTAGCGTGCACACACACACACACACTCAAACGCACACACTGTGGTCCTGCTGTCAATCGCTTCCATGTCATCCACTGCAGGAATTAAATCCACTAAAAAGAGTTTTTTAATCCTTACGGCTTATAAAAGCTAAATCCTTTCCACCCAACTGTTCTCTGCCCTGATGACGTCATCCTCATCGAGATACACAACCACACAACCACTCAACCACACACAGTGTAATGACGAGTGTGACACTAAAGACACACAGTGAAACACACAGTGTGATGACAGTCTCCTAAACAGGGCTGCCATGCCTTTGAAGCAGATGAAGGCCTTCAAGGACTCAACAAAACGAAAAGAATATAGCAATTCAATAAATGTTTTGCATATTCAAAGCTAAAGTAGTTGAAGGTTTTCTTCTGATTGTTTGAACTGTGAAATATAATTTAGGATTGTTCAATTCTTTAGCAATAATCAGTTACAGTTAAAACATTTGACTTAATTCCTATTATTTTTTGACAGCACCTGGAAACTTGATGACATCCTCCTCCATCCTTAATTCCCATAACATTCCCATGATCCTTCTTGTCATTGGGATGCTCTATGCTGTGGGGGTTGTGTGATGTTACCTGGAAGCGCAGGATGATGGTCCAGATGAGGCCGAGCACCAGGCGGTGGTTCCCGTCCACGATGTCGTGAGAGCCCATGTTCTCCAGGTGAACCCTCTGCTCCTTCAGGAACTGCAGCGCTTTGTCCACGTTCTCCAGGCAGTGGATACGCATCCTGCCTTTGGTGGGCTTGGGCTGAAACAAAAACACAAGAGGAACATTTAGTATTATTAATAAAACATGTAAGATGACCTGGAGGCAGAATTCTTTTTTGTGATTAGTGAGTCTCCTGATGCAGAAGCAGCTGCAAAATTACACTTTTTATTGGCTTCGATGTGGAGTAAGAGTGCTTTTTATAACGTCACTTTAACTAAACAATATCACTAAATCATAACTGAAATATAAACATCCCAAAACTGGGAAACAGTTGTTAATATTAGAGCAATAAATAACTCCAAGTAACAAACGTTCACATAAATATTAACAAAACTACGGCCATGACCTGCACACGGATCCAACATCCAAATATGTTTTTTCTGCACAAAAACAACCAGGACCAAAAGGTTCTTAGTAGGAAGGACCGGCTTCATGAATGTAGGACTAACACATTGTGGGTTTTGGAGTTTTATGGGCTTTGTAGAAAAAATATAGAACATAAACGCTTGGATGTTACTTTTAAGATAAAACATTTCCTAAGATGTCCTCATTACCTTAGTGAGAATAATTGAATCAGAAGCAACAGAGGAGATGAACAACATGATCCCATAAAAGCTTCCTCTGCAGTGAGGACAGATTCCTCGGCTGCTCCTGGAGGCGTTTTGGCTCCAGACAAACCCTCAAAGTTACTCAATGACTTCTTTCACAACACTACCACCCCCCCCACTGTTATTCTCTGCATTCATCCAGATCACCACTTCACTATCACTCTGCTTCTGCCAGCTTATTATAACTAAATATCCGTCTTTCTCTCTCCATTTCCACACATTCTTCCTCTCTCTTTTCCTCCGTTGGTCATTTGTCTCTCTCTCACTTCCTCCTCCAATGTGCCACAGATTCTCTGGCTCTCTGCTCTGACAGAAAGCATTCAAAAACTGTAAAAATAAAGCGGAATAAATAAATGATATTTTATGTGAAACAATTAAGTCATTTCCTGGCTGGCTGTGTTTTCTCTCTGTGTGTGTGTTTGACAGGTCGTGAAAAGACCGGATGATGCAGGGAGAAGAGGCTGGAGAGACGCCAGGATAACAAGAGGAAGAAGGAGACCTAACTGACCTCAATATATTTATTACACCACATTTTTCTTATATTTCTAGCAGTATATAAAAGGTTCTATATAAAAGTGACAGATTATTTAGTCATTCTAATGAGTTTCCTAGAAATGTGTTCGACTGAAACTCAATAAACAAATTCCTCCTGCAGCTCCACCGTCATAATAACCCTTTTAAGAAGTCTCCTGACACAGAAACATGTCATATCCAACATGACAGTCTACAGCAGCCAAGAGACAATGTTTAAAGTTGTTTTAAATACTTTTTTGTGGAAACTAGATGCTTAAAAAAAACCTTTCGGAGATTTTTTTAAAAGCAAATAATTCTATGCACAGGTGGAATCTCTTACAAAATGTTCATATTTCTCTTAATGCATAATCCAGCAATGTGGTACAAAGCCCAGTTATTATTGATATAAGTGAAGTGAACACACTGAGGTACACAGATGGAGGCGAGTCCTGTTAATGAATATGAGTCATAAAGGCTGTGGTCAAACAACCAGATAAGAAGAGTGTGTGTGTGTGTGTGTGTGTGTGTGTGTGTGTGTGTGTGTGTGTGTGTGTGTGTGTGTGTGTGTGTGTGTGTGTGCGTGTGCGCGTGTGCGCGTGTGCGCGCATGTGTGTGTGTGTGCAGCCAGAGAGTGACAGAAAATGAAGATAATATAGAAGCAGGTCATTTTGCAGCAAGATATCTGAGTATTTCCTTAAAATGACAAAGTTTATCGCTCATATCTTTTCAGTTTGTTAATTAACCCCCGAGCCTGTTTTCCAGGTCTCAGGCTCAAAAATGACATTCCCAGAACAAATGACCATAACTTCACTTCTAAAAGGGGAAAATTAATAAAAAAAAATCTCAAAGTAATGATAAACCTGTGAGTTGGATGTAGAAGTGTCAGAATCAATATAGATTTTTTTTAATTTAAAGTAAATTCAGATTGAACATAGTAAAAAAAATTTCAATTATTGTGTCCGTCCAAAAAAAAAAACATTACTTACAGTATAGTGAAAACCACCCTTGAATGATGGGATGGTAGACTAAAAGCTTTAGGAATCCACACTATAACATAATAAGTACCCTGTATCAAGATTGATGCAAAACAAGTGAAATTTGACCTTTTTAGAGATATTTAGCAACAAAAAACACTTCTGGGGTCATTTGGGTGGATTTGACCTATCTCTGGCCCCCCTTGGTCGATTTTGATGATTGACACGTAGCCAAAACAGGAAGCTGTCATACACTCTGGAAGCTATCATTAGCAGCTAATATGAAAACTCAGTTTTTGACATAAAAATGGAATTATGGATTATCAATATTTTTTCAAAGTGACAGAAACATTGGATTAACCTATGGATTAACCTTCAGCCACGTTTTTCTCGTTTTAATGCCATTGAACACGACTTTTGATCAGAATAACAGCTAAGGTGAGCATATCTCCGTGTTTTGCTACCTAAAGCTACGTCGTGTGTTGTCTGGTTTTGCTTCCCCTGTTATGTCACAAGTTCTGATCGCTCAGTGATGATACTTATATTTCTAGAATCTGTGGAATCTCAGCTTGCTAGCTAAGCTTGTTTGTGCAGATCCGATAAGTATATCGATCGATTTATACCGACTTGTGTTTTGTTTCGGTAAAGATTGTTCATATCGTTAGTTAGCTGAGTTTCTTCCCGTTAAGTGAGTATGACACATTAATAGTTTATTACATTTTAAGAAGCTCTGAGACACAGTTTCGGGGGAAAAACGGGGAAAAAAGCCGGCTTAACAGGTTAAAGAAAATAATAGTTATCGACCTGCTTTTGCACCTTCCTCTCCTCTGCTGCCCTTTCAAAAGAAAAGCCCTCAGTGTGCACTCACCAGCCTCTCTCCGGACAGGACCTCCAGCAGCTTGATGAGCGAGCGCCCGTCCCTCAGGTCCATGTACAGGTCTGTGATCCTGCAGGAGACCCTGGACAGGTGGGAGTTCACCCACTTAGTGAAGGTCTTCTTCTGCACCGCCTCACGCTCATCTGCAGAGAGAGAGGTCAGAGGTCAGTGAGGAAACAGGAATTAAAGCTATAACAAAATGTAAAGACTAGGAGGAAACTTGGGAATTTAGCATTTGCAGACCATTTACACACAAACCTATATTACATTACATTACATGTCACTTGTTAGACGCTTTTATCCAAAGCGACTTACATACTCAATACTGTGGACAATCCCCACAGGAGCAATTTGGGGTGAAGTGTCTCAGGGACACAACGACATGCTGACTGCAGTGGGGTTTGAACCTATCCACTGCGCCACACGCCTCCACCGATATAACACGCTATGAAAGGGAAAACCCTAAAAAGCAGAATAGGGCCCGCAAAAAATGTGCATGCCCGTTTCTCAAAGTCCAATGCGATGTCTTTAACTGTCTTGTTTTGTAAAATGTTCACTTTAATATGATATAAAATAAAGAAAAAGGCAAACTCTAAATATTAGAGAGGCTGAAAACTGCATTTAAATACATTTTTTTATGAATACGAATTAAAAGATTGATCACTTGGAGTGTCTACGTGTTTCCTGTGTGTTCTGAACATCCCATAAACTCATTGTTCCTAGAAAGGCGTGTGTGTGGGAGAGGTTTCCTGTGACACACACACACACACACACACACACACACACACACACACACACACACACACACACACACACACACACACACACACACACACACACACACACACACACACACACACACACACACACACACACACACACACACACACACACACACACACACACACACACACACACACACACACACACACACACACACACACACACACACACACACACACACACACACACACACACACACACACACACACACACACACACACACACACACACACACACACACACACACACACACACACACACACACACACACACACACACACACACACACACACACACACACACACACACACTTCCTTGGCTGTCTCAGTTGCCATGACAATGGACAGGAGGAAGTTGCATAAGGAGGAGAGGGCGTGACACCTCTCCCACACTCACAGTATTTTACACACACACACTGAATAGAAAGTATTTTTCTTCTGTAAAGTAATTATTCAAAACAGTATGTTGCTCTTATCCAGCCGCTGATGTTCTAATAAACACACACACACACCTTTTGTATTTTTTATAATAAGCTTATTTTAGGGCCGTCATTTGTGAAGTTAGTCAGAAGAGATTTGCATGACTTCAAATAATTTACATCATCAGACAACTGGAGCCAGCTGCAGAGTTAGAGACACTGCATTAGCACATTATCTAATACATGTGTGGTTGAATTAACTCACTTTTCATTATTGCTGGCGTTAGGAGTCAATTCATGTTTGCTTTTTCTGGCAAATCTGCATCACTCAGGGCTCAGTGAGAAATATCCCAGTTCTCAGATAAATCACGTTTTTTCCCAGTTGGAAACATGACTGTATTACTATACGTGTCTGCATGCATGAGGTGAAGGTCTCAGTTTCTTTTCTTGATCACAAAGCATTATTCTTCCAGCCAATGACACCGTTTACAAGGCTGTTTTTTTTCCACTAAACTAAACTGAATTTGTCATGTAAAAATAAGTACATTTTTTGGCAAAAGATGGACGATAGACTGATGCTCTACAACAGTTCCTTCACAGTGCACAAACTCGGTGCTGAAAAAGAGACACGAATGAACTCAGTTTGACCCCTGAAAGGAAACAGGGGACACACACACACACACACACACACACACAAGTGATAAGAACCCCTGACTGTTTTATACATGCAAACAAATATTCATGACCTTCAGTGTGTGTGTGTGTGTGTGTGTGTGTGTGCAGAGGGACAATAGCGTCATTGTTCGCTGGCATTCAGCAGCTTTATCACTCGGCACAAACACACTATGGAGGATTCCTCGTATCACAGTGGAAGCAGAAATATGTGGACAACAAGACGACACGCCGCCAACAATCTGAGAGTTATCTGAAGAGAGAAGTAACATGGACGCCTGCACGGAGCCAGACACACTAAACACGCTGCAGCTATCAGGGGGAAATCCTTGACTATAAAACTTCCTACAGACACACACCAACGACAAATAGAGTCTTTTTGTAAGGGCCAGTGTCTTTTTTCAATTCAGTCGAGCAGGTGAAAATGGAAGGGAGGCTCGTTTTGGACGTGCCTGTCTATCCTTAACTTTATAGCAATGGGGCGGCTGTGAATAAAACCAAACCCAACTCTAATTGGCTTATTAAAGGGGCAGAAACTTTGTGATTTTAGTCTTCGCAGACCATTGACATGCACAAAAACCTATATAACACACTACAGGAAAGGGGGAAACCCCAAAGAGCATAATAGGGCCTCATTAATGTCTATCAGACAGCGCTAAGTCATCATTATGTATAGCCTTCATATTAATGGAATACATTATTCCTTGTCTGGTTTATGAAAATAAATGTTAGCTGCAACTGCATGGTATTACATCATCTATCTAACAAAGGTCATTTCAGGTGACTGTGGGCAAAATAAAGTGATAATGCTAAGCTACACACACACACTCTCCCACAAACAGCTAAGCAGAACTCAATGTCAATGTCTTCAATTACTTTCAAGGATACTGTTGAATCCACATCACACAGCCGATTGTTCGTGCGTGCGTGTGTGTGTGTGTGTGTGTGTGCGTATGTGTGTGTGTGTGTGTGTGTGTGAGGAGAACTAAGGTATTAACGGGATGTCTTTCTGTAGGTCAATAACCCAATTACCGCTTAGCATGACCTTAACCTGAGGAAACACACATGCCAGACCATTTGGTTGAAAAAAATAATAACACACAGGAATGTGCATCCTGAACATCATGTGAGGTGCTTCATTCTTCGTATCATCGTGTGAATGCATCCCTCTCCTAAATCACACAAGCAATTGTCAATGCATCATGGGAAGTCAAGGTCCAGATATGACAAGAATTAATAACCGAGTTCATAGAGGCTCTCACACACACACACACAGGGACACACACACGGACACACACACAAAACCGGGAACGTTTTATGTTCTCAATTACTAGTTTCAAGTGTTTTTCAATACATTACGAAGTTCATTTGGTAAATGATGGTCCCATTTAGAGTAAAATAGATTATAAAGCAGTGTCTAATTGAAGACTAAAACACAAGATGGCGGTGGACACATTTTCGGGTTTGACTAATGCCAAAAAAATATAAGAAAATGTAGGAACAGCAAACAAAAAATGACATATATCAAACACACACATATCAGTCCACAGCTGTGTTCCCCTGGGTTGAATTCTGAAAACACACACTCTGTCTGGACTGTGAGTAGTTGTGTGTGTTTGTGTTATTCAGTTCAGGAATACATCTTTAATTTGTTATTATCCAGAGCAGGTCTACACACACATCTATACATTCCTGTGTGTGTGGGGGGGGATTTTGGGGGAAACGTCTGAAAAGTTAGTTATGTTTTTGCAGTTTACTCCCTCTTCCAATCACACACACACACACACACACACACACACACACACACACACACACACACACACACACACACACACACACACACACACACACACACACACACACACACACACACACACACACACACACACACACACACACACACACACACACACACACACACACACACACACACACACACACACACACACACACACACACACACACACACACACACACACACACACACACACACACACACACACACACACACACACACACACACACACACACACACACACACACACACACACACACACACACACACACACACACCCTGTGGGAGATCAGGAATGCTAGAATCCAGGAATTGCAAAACTAGAAGTGTGTATTTTGATAAGGTTATACGATCGTCAGTGTGTGTTTGTTTTAGTGTGTGTGATGGTTAGTGTTTGTGTGAGTGCCGTTGTGTGTGTTGGTGTGTGTGTGAGTGTCGTTGTGTGTGTTTGGCTAAAGTCATGCGATCCAGCGTGAATGGCCCAGAACTGGGTTACATTTGGAAACACAGCACAGACACGGGAGACTGAACAGAGCTGTGTGTGTGTGTGTGTGTGTGTGTGTGTGTGTGTGTGTGTGTGTGTGTGTGTGTGTGTGTGTGTGTGTCCCTCTGTTAGTGGAAACAGATGTTCGATATGTTCGGCCTGTCTTACACACACAGACCTCCTCCTCTCTCACTGACACTTTTGAGTGTTAAAGAGTTATTCCGTGTACAACCATAATTAAAGTCTCCATTGTGTTAGTTTCTTTTTGACAGGAAAAAAAAGCTCTACCTAAAAATATATAACCTGCATCACAGGTGCCCTTGACATTCAATCAGGAATGAATTTCAATATTTTTTAAAGGAAAATATCTTCTTCTACTTTGATGGTTTCCCAATAAAGGATATGAGTTATGTGTATTCTTGTTTAGTATAATAGATGTGCAGAAGGGAGATATTTAACACACTGAATTTCAGGTATGAACAAAAGAGCAGCCAACAAACTGAACTGTAGGATTACCTGTAAAAAAATGCTTAAATTAACCTACATTTCCTTAAAAGAAGGCGTAGAATAAACAAAACTCAGGAAATAAAAGCTATGAGTTTCATCATGGTTCCAAAACATCCTGCAGTCAGACAGCAGGACACCGGCAGATCCCTCAGCCAATCACAGGACACCATACTGAGTCCCAGCCAATCACACTGACCTATGGTAAAGTCTGAAATCTGAGAGCAGAGTCTGAATGAATGCAAACTCTCACACACACACACACACACACACACACACACACACACACTCACACACAGTGCTGCAGTGTGTTCCCATGGGAGCAGAAAGTGAGGCAGAATGTGAACAGAGGACCATTGAGAGTGAACACTGCCTGATTATCAGCCGGCAGACATATGTCCCGCACACTCAGCTCATTTCAGACAAAACTGTTTGGGTCCCGTCCAGATCCAGTCTCTTTAAACCCCAGACCAGGCAGGATTAGGGC